GAAGTGAATTCAGTGGGGGGGGGGTGCCTGCGCCAAGTTTGGATCCAACACCGTGGGAAAGGGAATTCCCTGGGGTTCTGGGGAACTGGGATGTTCGGAGGGCGTTGGGCGAAGATACCGAATCAGGGGAGCGGCGCTGGGGACCCGGAGTGGGGTCTGAAGTTGATGCACTAACCTGCTCCCGTGGCTGCCGGCTGGCGAGGCAAGTGGGTGCCTGGGTTCCCGCCGCCTCTAGGCCCAGCTTCAAGACCCCATTGTGTCCCCGTCCTGCCTCCTGGCAACCGGACTGTCCGCCCACCNCAGGCGTCCTGCCGCCGGCCGTGGACCCGAACGCTGGCCTCAAGCTTTCCCGGGCGTCAGCACACCCAGAAATGGACAGGTCTGTGATGAAACTCAGGTATGAGAATAAAAACCGTGAATAATACAAACAGCAGGCTGTTTATCATGTGTAGAGAGAAAACTTTGCATCTATTTAAGCCCATGGAATATTTGCAAAAAATAATCATGTACCGGGCCACACATACATCCATACAAACACACATGCACAAGTACACATGCATGTACACACACAGGTACACATACATACATGTACACACACACACACAAAACCCCACACAGGTTGAATAAAGATGTACTAGGACACATGATTTGATTGTAATCCAAAACAATCCTAAGCAAACAATAAAATGTTAAAAAAAACCCCAACAACTTAAATAGTTAGAAATTAGCAAATTCTCTTTTAAAAAAAACCCCTGAATCAAAGAGAAACTCAAATATGAAGTTTTAAATGATATAAAACTGCAAAGGTAGATGCTTTCATGCCAGCTCTATAGGACATAGCTAAAGCTGTGTTCAGAGGAAAATATAAAGCCTTAATGACTTCATGAATGAAAAATTTTAAATAAACAATGTCTTACAGATATTAGAAAAAAGAACAGCCAAGTACACTGAAAGAATGGGTCTGTTTTTGCCCAGCTCGGCACCCTGCCTGCTCCCAGGAGAGAAACAGGCAGGAGGGAGTGTGCATTGGGCTGGTGGGAATTCCTGGCCTTTGCCAAGTGAGTACTGAGCCTGGTGCCAGCCGAGGAGTGAGAACCAGGATGGATTGCTGGAGCCACCCTTCTGAGGCCTCCGAGGGCTGAAGGGGAGACACGGGGGGGGGGCACCCTCTGCAGGGAATTTTAAAACAATACTCAGAGTGCTGAGTTTAAAATAGTGAAATAGGACAAGGCATAATATTTTTGTTTGGTTGGTGCAAACTTTATTTCATGTGTGAAATATTTTACTGAATTTGAATATTTTAGAATCACTTGCCCGGTCAAGATGGCCTCCACCTGTCTGAGCAAAGTAACGGTGCTGGGATGTGCGAGAACTCAGAGAGTAGAGCAATATGAGGAAAATACAACAAAAAGGTGAAAAACAGCAGATACACCAGAACCAGACCCCAAGATGGGAGAAAAGAGGAAGTCTTTTGAGCAATGAGTCTCTTGCACACACACACACTCACACTCCAGTGAAGATTAACCAATTTCAGCAGAACCCGGGTGCTGAGAGTGAGGTGTAAGACTCTGCACTTCTCATGGGGGTGGGGAGAAAGGGTGAGGTGAGCAGGGAGTAGAGTATCCCACAGGTTTTATTTTGTTGGGAGAAGACATTAGAGCCCTGGCTGGTTTTTCTCAGTGATTAGAGCGTCGGCACACCGACTGAAGGGTCTCCGGTTCCATTCCGGGCAAGGGCCCGCACCTCGGTTGCAGGCTCGGTCCCTGGCCCTGGTTGAAGTGCGTGTGGGAGGCAACCAGTCAATGTGTCTCTTTCACATCGATGTTTCTCTCTCTGTCTCTCCCCCTCCCTTCCACTCGCTCTGAAAAATCAATGGAAAAAGTATCCTCAGGCGAGGGTTAAGAACAACAGAAACGACATAACAGACTGATTCGGGGGAGGGGGTGTCTGTTAAAGCCGAAAGTCCGTTATATAATAAAGTAGGTTGAAAAAAAGACATTAGGCATCTTGTTTATGGCCAATGGTAGAGTCGTGTCTAAAGGAAGCAGGGAAAGGAAAACAAGCAGCCACAGAACAGAAGAGTTTTGGAGAGTTTCCAAATTAAAAATCAAGAAAACAGAATGGCAACAATAAACAAAGCCCCCAAAGCCACCCCCCAAATGGGAGTGGGGGAAGAGAAAAAATGTAAAATTATAAACAAAGTGTAAATTAAAGAGTAAAATAAATGAATGCTTACACTGGCTGTGTCGGGGCTGCAGGGCTGCTGTGGGACAAAGTGCCAGGCGGAAGCTGGAGAGGGAGGAGGGAAAGTCACTGATCACATACAAATTGCTTCCGTATAACTTACCTGAGAATACGGATCTTTCAGGTTATTTGAAAGATATATGTAAAGAAAGCATTTCTATTCCTGTGTGGTATGCTTTCCAATGGGTATATTTGAAGGATCACATGTTAATCATACCAATGCTGGAAAAGGGGTGATTGCCTTAATATCTCACGCGCAATGATTTATATGTAGATTTTGAAATATACAAGCATTTATTTCTTGCGTTCTGTTTATCTTCTTTTAATTATTCTTCCTTTCTTTTAGATACTTAAAAATATTCTTGCCCAGCTGGGCATGGCTCAGAGGTTGAGCATTGACCTAGGATCCAGGAGATCGAGGTTCGGTTCCTGGTCAGGGCACATGCTCGGGTGGCAGGCTCAATCCCTAGTCGGGGGGCTGCTGGAGGCAACTGATCAATGACTCTCTAATCATTGATGTTTCTCTCTCTCCTCCTCTCCCTTCCTCTCTCTGAATTCAATAAAAATATATTTTAAAAATATGTATATTCTTAGCTAGTGTTTCAGGCTTTCCTATGCCCAAGCTAGAATTCCTTGGGCTGATATACCTCTAAGGTCACTTGTCAGCTACCTCCTGCGGTGACTGACAGCTGCACCTTGCTCCCCACCTCAGGGCAGCCTGGAAATGCAGGAAATTCATGCTCCATGGGGAAGACCTTTTTTAAAATTTTTAAAAAAGTTATTGCTTTTAAAGAGACAGGGGAAGGGGGGGAGAGGTAGACAAACACCCATTTGTTGCTCCATGTATGCACTCTGGTTGACTATTGTATGTGCCCTGACGGGATCAACCCCACAACCTTGGCGTATTGGGCGATGCTCTAACCATTTGAGTACCCGGCCTGGGCCATGGGGGGAAGAGCTTTGATTGAATTAATTCTACCCTCTTCTTCCCCTGGATGGCAGTATTGAGAAATGATGAGTTTATTTGGCCTCTTAGAGTCTGATCCCATGAGGAGCAGTCAGCATGCTCAGTACCCAGCAGTGGCTTGGTCCCTACTCCTGCTCCATGGGGTCACACCCTGGTAAAGCAGTGCTCATGAGTGTCTGCCTCAGCTTTGTTTTCCTAGGAACCCAGGCTTAGTCAACTTACTTTTCAGTCTTTTTTAAATTATATGGGCATTTAAAGCTTTGGTCTGGGTTTTCCCTAAATATGGTTTTAGTTAGATCTGTAGCTTTTTATATACAACATTCTTATTATTAATTTTAAAAATAGCTTGGCTATTAAAAATGAAACTGCTGCCTGGCCGGCGTGGCTCAGAGGTTTAGCATCAACCTATGATCCAGGTGATCAAGGTTCGATTTCCCATCAGGGTACATGCCAGGGTTGCAGGCTTGATCCCCAGCAGGGGGCATGCAGGAGGCAGCCTGTCAATGACTCTCTCATCATTGATGATTCTCTCTCCCTCTCCCTCTCTCTGAAGTCAATTTTTTAGAAGTGAAACTGCTGTGAACATCTGTGTGCAGATGTTTGCGTAGACATTTTATTTCTCTGGGATAAATGCCCAGGAGTGCTGTTGCTGGGTGGATGGTAACTGTATATTTGTTTGTTTTTTAAGAAACTGCCAAACTTTTCAGAGTGGTGGAACCATTTTACCTCCCCACCGCGTGACTTACTTTTTAAAATCCACCTTATGCTGCTGAGAGTCATCACACTGTTGATGTAGCTTAAATGAATTCATTTTCACTGTTTATAGCAGAAAATACCAGCCAGTGTGATGAGGCATAGTGGGGTGTCACAAATGAATTACAGCTGTGCCTTGAGCTATTACCGGATATGTTTTTCACGGATATAAATTATAATCCAGTTTTAAAATAGCTACTTAAAATTTTACATCGGCTCAGATTACATTCATTTCTTTTTTTTTGAAATATATCTTTATTGATTTCAGAGAGAGGAAAGGAGAGGGAGAGAGAGAAAAAAACATCAACGATGAGAGAGTCATTGATTGAGCCCGCAACCCGGGCATGTGCCCTGACCGGGAATCAAACCCCGATCGCCTGGATTCCAGGTCGACGCTCAACCGCGAAGCCATGCTCGGCGGGGCAGATTACATTCACTTGAAGGAGATTTCTGCGGCCCCTCTGTGACCTTGAGGCATTCTTTAGGAGGACGGTAGTCAGCACCTGCCACCAGAGGGCGCTCTGCAGACGCTGCGCCACCTGGCCCTCCCCTCCCCTTCCACTGAGGGCAGTTTGTCTAGTTCTGAGGTTTATCATCCGTGAAATTTTTTGTAATCTATGGCAAGGAGGAGATAGTGGGTTTGTTTTTTTTTTGTTTTCTTTTTGCGATTTACTTTCTTATTTTTCACAAAATTTAAAACAAATACATCTGGTGTGTATGACTTCTACCTTCAACATCATCATCATCACCATTGGAGGCATCCTTCTGCTCCCACTCTTGTACCAAATACTTCTACATAAAACACTTGATTTTGTTTGTTTTCTCAACTCTTAGTTCTTGATTTGCTTATTTATTACATATTGGTGGTTGATGCTAACGACCGGCCTAGTGATTCTTAATTTCTAAATTGTTGAGACATGAGTCTAGATGTTCTTTCCCCCTTTAGGTGGCTTAGCCGGGAACCAACTCATCTGGATGGAAGCCAGTCTGCGGACAGACAGCGGGGCCTTGACCAAGGTCAGTGTCCTGTTGCCAGGACTCTCGGATGCACACCTCAGCTCTCAGTGTATACACTCCTGAGGGCTGTTCCCAGGCCTGGAAATTCTTTGACGCATTTCTTGTTACTTGGAAAAACTAGATATGCCCAGTCCCTTTTGGGGGAACCTACAAATGTATAATGTGCTGAGTGCTCCTGGTCACCCTCACTGCTGGGACCTTATATGGTGCCTTTAGAACATCTATGACT